AGCTTTAATAGTCTCATCCACTCAATGTTCCTAACTTGTATTATAGAAAAAATAGATTTCAAAAATGCTACACTTAAAAGGATATTCTCATCTGCAGAGTATTTGTATAATATTCTAATCTTAAAATTTTAACTTGGGGAAGAGAGTCAAGATGCAGCTCTTCTTTTATTCTCTTTTGAGTCACACAGGAAGCATTTCAGAACTACAGTTGTAACTGATTCCTTGGTTATTTTTAAGAATTTAGTTGTGTGGGTTTTTTAATAGTCCCAAGAGTATGACAATATTTTGCATTCAATGCCCAGACTTTATTGCAAAATCTTGATAGGTGCAAATAAATTAAGTATGAAGTACTAGAATACCCACATCACCAGCAGGTTCATGAGAGAAGATGCCATTTTAGAATAGCATAAAGTATGTTTAATTTTGCAATTTTTTCTTTAATTAATGTGCTGGTGGTTGTTAGTGTCTGTATCTGAAGGGGAAGATTTTTGGTATGTCCTAAAACCTCATTTTCAGGTTTATTTAAGCATTGCTGGTTTTATTTTCATCCTTGCTCTCATGCATGTGACATCTGCAAGAAGACATTCACATTTGAAAACTCCCAGAAGTTCAGAACTTGAGTGATTGCTTATGGAACCTCAGTATGGAAGATACTGGGTGGAAAATACATAAATACTAGATTGTGCAGTGTAAGCAAAGCATTTTATTAAGTTGGTGTATGTTTGCTCACATGAGTTAAATCATGGGAGTTTAGTGTGGTTTTTAACACTGTAAATGGTCAGGTTGGGTTATTGCTGAGAATGGAATGGATCCATCAGAGTGTTTGGGTTTGGAGGTGTTCATCCATCCCAGAGGAGGAGTTTGGTGGCCTTGGTGAGGAATTGGAAAGGCAGCAGAGGCAGAGCTGCCCTGTGTTTCATCTCCTCTGCAAGGATTCACAGAGCCCCGTTGTTCCCACCCAGCCCTGCCTCCCCCCTCAGGAGCTTTCATTTTTATACAGTTGCCAGTGCAAGGTCACTGGGGTGTGTTTGCTACTGTTCTGATCTGCTTTCAACCTGTGACAGACATGAACCTCCCTGGCCTGGGGTGTCCTGAGGGACCTTGGGCACCCTCAGTGCAGGGTCAGTGAAATTCCTGCTCCAAACTCACCAGAGATTCCTTCCCAGCAGCCAGGACAGACAGACAGCTCTGGGAGAGGCTGTGGAGAGGGTTTGACAGGAGAGGGAGGGCAGATGGGACTGAATTAAGCCTCTTAGGGATTAGGTATCTTTAAAAGTAAGTCTGGGGATATCATTACAGTTGGAAATTTTCAGAACTTTCTCCCAGTGTTCTCTTTAGATTTTCTTCCACATTCAGTCTTGGTGTGAGACTGGATCTCTGAGCTTTATCCACGTGAGTGAACACTGACACCATTGACTGCTGTGTAATGTGATTTTCAAGCAGCTACATTTTTTAATGAGGCTATAAATCCAAATCAGTTTTTGAAGCAATACCTATACATAGACCCATACATAGACCCATACATAGACCCGTACATAGACCCGTACATAGACCCGTACATAGACCCGTACATAGACCCATACATATTCCTATACATATTCCTATGCATATATATATATACGTATTTTGTCTGAAAATTTGTGCAGAGCTATTAATGCAACCTCAGGATTTCACAGGTAATATTTATTAATATTTTGGGGTTGTGTGTTGCCAGATTTCTGTTACTGATGGGAGTTTGTGCTGCTGGGCCAGGTGAGCTCTGTGCTCACGGCAGTGCCCGACCTTCCCTCAGGGCCGTGCAGTTGCTGCTGCAGGTGAGGCTGTGGCTGCCTTGGCCCAGCAGTGATGGAGCAGCACAAGCAGCTTATCCCCAGCACAGCACAATCTCTCACCTGCTCCAGGGCTGACCCTGAGCTGGCTGTGTCTGACTCCCACTGTTGTGGAGCTTGTGCAGTCTGTCTGTTATCCCTACGGGGACCTTGAGGTGCTGTGACATGCAGGACCAGAGACTGGGACAGTGTGGGGGCATTAAGGCATCAGTCTGATGCAGTTGTAATGGGTGTGTGTTTCTTGCACACTTGAAAATACTCAAATCGGAATTGAAATCATCAGAAATTAGTTTGGCCAAGCTTTTAACACGTGCTGATGTATCTCTGGCATGTGTTAAAATGTTATTTATAGAGTGGGGGAGAAATTAATGCTGACTGTCAGTAGCTCGTGTAAGTAATTTAATTAAATGTTTAATGTGCCAAGCATTAGATTTTATTTGTCAGATTGGGAAGAAGGCAACTTTGAGAATTTTGAGGTTAGTTGGAGTAATTTTGAGGGTGCAAACAAGTAGGACCCCAAAACTCATGCTGATAATAAGGATATTCTTGTAAGTGTGCTACTTTTTATTAGATCTTATAAGATTCTTGCTTAAAATTTCTTATTACTTGGGCATTTAAGATGCTGTAAAACCTTCAGAATTTGAATTAATGGTACAGGGTAAATACTGCAGCAATGCTGATGCAGTTTTAGAACTAAACAAGTATTTTCTTACACAGGTAACTTACAGAGTGCCAGGTACACTGATTCCTTGGGATGGATGGATGGACAGCAGGCAGGGAGTTACAGTATCTTTCAAATTGCTTAAAATACATTTTTCCCTCTGAATCCTTTCTTTTTCTGCTAGGGGTTGTTGTACTTGCCAAGGGATGTGCTATCACAGTTCTCTTTCACTCGAGTGCACAGTGGTGTCTCGAAAAGGGTGGGAAATTCTGTCCAGCTTGCAGAAGTTATTTCTGGGGAGATGAGGATGGCTGCAGGCAGAGGAGGTTGGTTAAACTGGGCAGATTTGATGTCACCACTCTTTAAGTTTAAGGACTGATATCATCATCAGGGCCTTAAGTTTATTTTGAAACATCATTTCTCTCAGTTATGATGCAGGGATCTTTCAGCTGGTGACTTAATGCTGGTGTAAATATGCATTGGCAAATAAAAACAGATCAAATTCTGTTTATTTCAAGGCCAAATGGGAAGGGGATTTTTAAGCTTTAGTCTGACTAGGATGAGATGTTGGTAAATATTTAAAATCCTATTTTAAATTCCACAGGAAGAGTTGCATAGACACAAATTTCTCTATATGAATACACAATCAAAACAGTTAATTAATACAATATTAATGATCACTTTGTTCAATTTTTGTCCTGTTCATTAAAAAAGAAGCTCAGAAAGACATACTAGGCCTGTGATACTTTGCTTAAAATGCTGGCTAATGAAATGACTGTATTATACTATTAGATTGAGAAATTAGGGTTGGATTTCTAGAACTTTTAATAGACTTGCCTTGAGACTATTGTTTTGTTCTGTTGCATGACAGCATCAAAAATACCTCCTAAAACATAATTTTAATGATGAGTCAGCAAGTGGTTTTCTTCAGTTTGTTTTTGGACTGTGATAAATTCTACTTCATATGTTCTGAATAAAAATGCCTTGGTTATACAGAAAGTATAAACCATCCTGAATGCTGTGCCAGGAGCTGTGAATTGGGTACAATTTAGGGATTTGTTGGGTTTGGGTGTTGGATTCTCCCTTGGTGGGCAGCACTTGGCTGAGGGAAGAGATTTTGAAGCATTAAATGTTTAACTGTGTTTCACCCTTTGAATCACAGATGTTCCAGTTTGTTTTGACTCTTTGAGTTGTTTGTAGTCTAAACCAGATCACATTTCTAGTTTTTTTAAAAACCTGAAGGCCACTGAAATGGGCACACGTGAAAGTGGTGTGTGTATAAATCAGTTTTTGTGTAAGAAAAGGACGGTTTGGAATTGCTGGGGATTTGGCTTTCAGTTAAGCTGTGAGATTTCTGAATGTGGATGGCTGTGAGTCATGCAAGCAGCAAATTCCATTGGAATAAACCACCTCAAGTCTGGAAATAAAACCCCTGGGATTGGGTTGTTGTGTGTGCAGTGTGGCAGCAGGCTGCACTTCACAAGAGATGATTTCCCAGATTTTGGGAATTCTTTTCTCTGGCTCAGCTCCCACTCTGGTTTGTTGTGTCTCAATAGAACCAAGCTAAAGATTTACCACGAGCAAGATTCAAAACTGCTGAAAAAGCTTTGCTGGTGGGAGGAGAGCAGGGAATGGTCCAGAATGGGAGAACAGGGAGATAAATGGGAGTGGGGGCTGTGCTGTGCTGGCCAGGCTGACCTGCTGCATGCCAGGAGTGGTTTTCATCCTCTTTGTTTTGTCACTTTATTCAGCTCCTTGTTTAACTTCTTTCTGTCCTGAATGTTTGGGTGTTATTCTGTTACAGCTGGAGTGGAAGTTTATAGAAATTTCCAGGTGCTGTGAAATGCCCACAGCTCAGGCCTTTTTATTGGCAATCTTTGTTTTCTGTAAATTAATTTTCTCATTTAGTGTAATTTTCTTTGTGACCTTGTTAGGTACTTTTTTCAGAGTATCTAGATGCAAAGTATCTGAAAGCTGCAGGAAGATAATGTTGGGGAAAGATGTTTTATTTTAGGTTTGTTATGGAGAGTTTCAGGAATAACAGAATTGATGATTTTTGTGTGTTTTCCTACAATTTCAGTTCTTTGTGCCCTCAGGTACACTTAGTCATGTGTAACTCCTCATTTAGCACAACTCTGGAGAAATAATTCTTGGTTTTTTCTCATTTGGTGAGGGATGGGTTTAAAAGGCAAACCAGCCTTTGCTTGGGGCTATGAACTGGTGCAGCTGCACCCAAACAGGGTTTTAAACTGGTCACAGGGTGAGGAGCAGTTTGTGATCACCTCCAATAGGAATCTGAAGGAAAATGCTTTGCTTACACCTTCAGAGCCTAAAGTTCCTTGCTAAAGATGTAGGAAGGAACCAAAAGAGAATTGGGATGCAAGGTAAGAGTTCCTGACTCCCAGCACATGGGTCTTTTTTGAATTTATCCTAAGCATTTTGATATGAATTTATTGATTGTACTGAATATTAATAGTTCTTTAACAAAGATCCTTCTCTTTTATTTTTAGTATATTTTTGGGGAGTTCAGCCCTGATGAATTTAATCAGTTCTTTGTGACTCCACGATGCTCTGTTGAGGTAAGATCTACTTTAAACTTATTTTAGAAATAACATCTTGAAGCTCCATCTCTTTGTGTGAATTTGAAATACAACAATACAAATATTTGTCATTCACTTGGCTTGCTAATTTACAAACTGAAAATTTTATTTAGTAGTCTTCTTTCCATGTCTGTGGATATTAAATCAATTTTTAGACATAAATTAACGATTCCACTTTCTGCTTGTCATCTTTCAGAGCTGGACTAGCTGACAGTAGTGGTGGGATGTTGATGATGAATTTTCCAGCCCTGTACCTCAGTTTTGATGGGTTTTTTAAGGGGTGGATACTGAGAACTTTCCCAGCAGAGTTCTTGGTTGTAAGGTGGGCTTCTACGCCTTGGGAGCCTTTTGAAGCACAAGGATTGTTCATATTTCTGGCCAGGTGGAGCACTGCTGGCCCTCAGAGCTGTGCTCACAGAGAAGGCTGTGTGTGAGGTCTGAGAAATGCATTAATAATGAACTAATTAGTGACAGAGAGAGGCACAGAGTGGGAACAGTTGCCTTTGTGTGTTGGAGTTCATTGCACACTCACAGAGCATTGCAGCCTCTCATTCTCTGCAGTTCTTGGTAGTCAATCATGAACCATTTTCCTTTCTAGGGAGGAGTTTATCCCATTGTCCTCATCTCCAGACTTGAAAAATAATTTTCCTCTGGGTCCATTTCCATGCATTTCCTCCAGACATTTCCATTCAGACATTTCAGTCATGCTTCCATCCTGCCCTCTCAGCATAAAGGAAACAAACACTCGAGCTGTGGATGGGGAAATCCTTTTGTCACAGTTTACAAACCATTGTTAACGTGACTTACTTTCCTGTAGCTTAATTTTCCAAGGCTAATTAGTGTAATAAACTGCTGAACAATGAAAGGGCACAAAGGGAACGGGGTGGGGTGAGGAGTGAGGGAAATTCAGAAAGGAAAAAGCATTTATTTCTGGGGGGAGAGCTGTGTAGCAGAGGAGATCTTTGGGTAATTCCTGTTAGCTGTGATGACCCTGCTGTTCTCCCACCATAACTGCAGTCACAGCAGTGGGACATTGTCATCCTGTGTAGTGTCACCTGAAGTGCCCCCATCAGCTTTTTCAACACTTAGAGGATGATGAAAATGTCAAATCTTGAGCTGTTCTCAAAGCATGAACCTGCAGCACCAGCACCAGTGTGACTTCATTTCCTCAGTGTACCACTTACTGGTTAGCTTCAAAATAAAGAGCTGTTGAACAATGTTCCTTAAGTTTGTCCTTGATCTGGTTCACTTCAATGTTTTAATTACCTGGATGATGAAATAAAAGTGATGCTTATTAGTTTTGCACTAATTGGTGTAAAAAATTGGTCTGCAAAAGGCAGGGTGAGACTCAAGAAGGACAAGGCAGAGCTGATAATGCTGCAGGGATGTTTGGCACACATCCTGCTGGGGACAGTCCCACATTGCTGCTGTCCCCCTGAGGTCCCTTAACCTCACACCCAAGGGGGACTGGCAAGGGAGTAGTTAAAGCTAAAGGGAAATACAGGTTGGATATTAGAGAAAAAATTTTTAATGAAAAAGTGATAAAGTTCTGGAATTTTCTGCCTGGGGAGGTGGTGGAGTCCCCATCCCTGGGTGTGTTTAACAAAGCCTGGACGTGGCACTGGGTGCCAGGGTTTAGGTGGGGTGTTGGGACTGGATTGGACTCAATAATCTTGAAGGTCTCTTCCAACCCAGTCATTCTGTTGTCTAAAATGTGCCTTTTACATGTGACATTTTTGGCACATGTTCTGTCTCATGCCTGTTGGCTGGAATGGTTCCCACGACCCAGGTGTATGGAGCAAGGCAGCTTTGCAAGAGTGCTGTTGATTATTCTGATATTTTGGGCATCAAGAGGCTGACTACTTTTAGAAAATCTTATTCTCTGAAGGTCTTTGCTTTGAATAAAAACAAAAATTGTAAGGTGTATCATAAACTGTTTGTTATAGACATTTATGGTAATTTTTTTTAGCTCTGAGTAAAATTATATTGAACCTGTGTTCAGAATTAATATGGAGCTCGACCCATTGGTTCTCATTTCTGGCTTAAAAAAATGATACATTAAGATGTATTGAGGTTCATAAATGGATTTACAGCATGTAGTTTTTAAAATACTTTTGCAGTGGAATTTCAGGAATATTTTTCTTGCTGTTTCTGATGCACTGGTGCCTGCAGTGCACTAAAAAGGTGATATGTGAGTATCTGTTGTTTAAGGAATTGAAAACTTCAATAAAGAAATATTTTATTTGCTACAGCATTGGAGTTATATTTAGAGCAGCATTGTGAAGCTGCTCTGTGCCCTCTGAGCTGGGTGCAGTGTGGCAGTGGCTGCTGGTTCTGCAGGGCTTGGAGCTGCTCAGGAGGTTTAGGGGCAGGTGAGGGGGTCAGGAATTGTCCCCCTGTGGTTACACCATGGCAAGGGTTCTGCCAGCCCTGAGCCCATGAAATGGTGGCAGTGTTTGTATAAAGTTATCCACGCTCTGAGCTCTGGGTGCTTCATGCTGATCAATGTGTTCAAGACCCCACCTGAGCTGGAACATTCCGAGGATCACCCTGGAGCAGGTTAGAGTCAAAAGGTTTAGGTGTGATTGTTCCTTGCAAAGGTTTGTTTCATCCTTTCCCAGTTTGGTCTGTCTTCAGCTTTTGTCTAAAAAGAGGATATGTTCCTCATCCTAAAATAAATTGATAAAGAAAGATGCTGGGAGGTGAATTGAGAGCTTGGTGAGCCTGTGGTGTGTAACCAAGATAATCTTTATCTCTCAGTACTTGTGGTAATCTGCAAGGACACCTGAAGCTGGAGTGTGGGATTTGATAAATATAGAAGCATGAGTTCAAGGCATCCTCTCCAAAAATCAAATCTCAATTATGATGTTATTTTTTAAAGGATTTGGATGTTTCATATGAAACTGATATGGAATGTTCATAGATTTGCTTTGCCTTTAAATAAGTTTCATTTCTTTTTTGTACAGCTCCCCCCATACAATGAAACAGTTTCATGTGGTATTAAATCCACAGGTAAGTTTCATGATGGTAAGAAATCAAGATTTTTTTTTTAAAACTTCAAGGTTGTGACACTTTCCTGAGATTTACTGTAACTTCTCTTTGAATACAATTGTTACAACTTGCTCAGCACCTACACAGGCATAATTAGGTTGGATTTTTAAACTTTACTGAGTGATACCTGTGAGAGGTTTGGAAAATCCTGCATTGAACTTCAGCTGATTACAGTGGGCATCTTGTTCCTCCTTCGCTGTGCTGCCACAGTCAGAATCTTGTGGAATTCTGCAGGATGTGGCTGTGAAGATGAGGAGGCTGAAGAGCCATAGCATGAGTGTTTTCTAACAGTTCCAGCAAGGCTGCTCTGCAGGCAGTGCTCTGCTCTGTGCTCCCTTTCACTCTTGTTTCTGCCTGGCTTGGCTGTTTTCTGGAGAATCCTGGTTTGGTTTTATTTAAATCTCTTGATGAAGGTGTGACTTGATTTAATACTAAATGACAGAGTTCCCCTTTTAAAGCTGTAACACTCACAGGTCTCCTCTGCCTCTACCCCAAAACCTGCCCTTACTTCAGGGTTGTAAGAAGTGGACAGATAGGTGGGAGCTGCCCTGGCATCCTCACTCTGAGTAGTTTTAACCAAACTTCCACAGAATTTTAAGCAGCAGGTAAATCAGGTTTTGATTTATTCCCTGAACCAGAGAGCAAGGAAGCTGAGACCTAGACAGTGAAAATGTCTAGGTCATTTTCCAGGTCTCCTTGGGAAATCATGGAAATATCTGACTGAACATTTCTCATAAGTGCTCAGAAGAGGACCAAACTACACCCCAATCATTGTCCTTAGAGACTTTGGCCTTCCTTTTAAAGATAAACAAGATAGGCAGTCAGAAAGAAGGACCACAGGTCTCATTTGAGAGCAGATCAGCAGCATTTTTGACAATTCAGAAATTTTATTTAGTATCAGTTTTAGGACCCTGAGTAGTTCTAAATAGGAGTTGGAAAGGTTCTTTAAAAAGGCCACATGGTGTGAATTGTCTGTTGGTGACAGGGGCATCCAGTCATTTATTTCTTTGTCTAACTAGATTTAAGTTTTGTTCTTTCAGGCTGAGATTTTAATGCTCACAAGCCATACAGAAAGATGGTTTGTACAAATGTCTTTCAGATCATTCCTAGACCTTGAGAGAACCCCTCCCAACCCTGAGATTAGGTAATGACAGCAAATTAGGTTTTGCTTGAAAAATGTCTTTAACAATCTTGCACTGTACTGTGCATGCACATTATCACTGTGGTGGCTGCATAGGAAGCTGTGCAAACTAAACTGGAATGCTTGGTCATGCAGAATATTTGTATTTTTATATGATGGCACACACTTACCATGTTACCATTCCCCATGGTCTTCATTTTTTCTGTACTTCAGTGTTTAACTTTATTACAGAATCAGAAGATCTGTTAACACCTCCTAGGAGTAATCAAATCATGGCTTAAGCTCTAATGTGCAGAACTCTGTTCACACTAATTAGTGCTGTGCACTCACCGATTTTGGGGTTGTACACAGACTGTCCTTGGAGCATCTGCTGGTGCTTGTTTCAATATGTGTGCCTCGTTGTTCATGGCACAGAGATCTGTTTCAGTCCATTCAGAAATAGAGCTGTGAACTAGATTGAAACAAAGATGCCCTGAAGCAAAGTTGGAAAGTCAAAACAAATAAGAAAATATATTACCTCTTATTTTTCTCAAATGAACTTGACACAATCTTACAGCAAATGAGCTTCTGCCAGTCATTGCACAGACCAATTGTACAGTAGCTGCTGGTGTTTATTACTCTAATCCTCCTGTAAGGTACAAAGATTAATTACTCAGCTGTAACTTCCTAATTTGTTTGTTAAATGCTACAACATCAGTTCTGCTCTTGGCAAGGTTTCAGCCTATGATGTTGTGTAAGGGATGTGTTCTGTTTTCTGCTCCCCACTAGCCCTGAGTGTAAAATAAACTGATAAATTCACCAAAACTAGAAAAAAAAAGCTCCTTTAGATGATTTTTGCCAGGTTAGTTCTGGGTCCCACAAGTGCTGGGAGCTTGCTGGGGACAGAGGAGCAGGACAGGGGTACAGAGGTGACAGCTTTCACTTTGGCCTCTGATGGACTTGACTCACCCATGGAGGGAAACCACATTCTTTGTTCTGAAGCAATTGCTGCTTTCTTGAACTTGGATTTTAGAAAAGAAGTAGTCATGAATTATTTGAAGTGGTAGGGATTTGAAATGTGCCCAGAAATTCATTTTTGTCAAAGTTGGAGGAATATTGGGTGTTAGCAATTATTCCTTGTGCTTTGTGCTGTTGTAACAGAGAGTAGAAAGAACCATAAACAGATGAACCAATGAGGAATGGTTTTGTTGTGCATTTCTATCCCTTAAAGCCCCTAGAATTTTGCATTTGCCCTCAGATGCAGCAGAGGGAGCTGTGTGTGCACTGCCAGCTCAGGCTCTGTGGCACTGCCCCCCCCGGGCACCCAGTGCCCACCAGGCACAGCTCCCCCTGCCTGGCTCCAGGCTGCTGGAGGTTTAAAAAGGAGCTTCAGCCTCTCCTCTGGGTGCTGATGGCTCCTCAGTGACTGCAGAAGTGGTTGGTGAATGGCAGACAGGGTGTTAAAAATGCTTTCTCACAGGGAGAGGGGGAAAAAAATTAGAAATCTAGAAATTAGAAATTTGAAATTCACTCTTTTCCTAAGATGATTTAGAGAAGCCAGATGTGTGTGGAGCTTTTACCCTTTTTTATTCTTAAAAAGTCTCCTTTAGTCTGACTAGGAGCAAGATTGAAGTTGTTGTGTGACCTGTCTGCTTCTCATATAGTCAGATTAATAGATCAATGCAGAAAAGTAATTAGCATCGTTTTAATTTGTTCATTAAATCATATGTTGGTATTGCATGGATAAGTCAGACATCAACACACATTGTATGTTTGTTACTCTTCATTTGGTATTAAAAAAATGCAGATTCTTGTTCCCTTCACATTTTTTAAAGCTAAAATATTTGTTAGCAGATTTTTCTAGAGAACATCCAGAACTGCAAAACTTTTATATTGACAGTCATATATCAAAATATTCCCTGCTAGGTTGTTTTCCCAGAGGATTTTTTTTCCTTAGGTGTGTGAATAACTTCTTTTCTGAGAACTGCTGGTTGCTTTTTGTTGTGCTTTAAAAAAAATCCACCTCATTTTTAGTGAGTCTGTACTTGCAAATATGTATTTGTTGATGTCATGCATAATGTAAGTGGCACAAAATCTGAAAAGTTTAGTGCTGTATCCACTTAATTCCTTCGGAATTAATACCTAGTGTTGTTTGGTTCTGTAATAAGTCTTAAAAATTGGAAATGTGTGTTTGAGCCCCCATGGTTGAGGAAACACAAAATATTAAAATGTAATGTCCTTGGAACAGTAACATACATATCATAAAGACTTGCAGAGCTTTAAATGTCAGCTTACCTTCAAAATTCCTGAAACTGTTTCATTAATTTTATGTCTTTACTCAGTACTTACAGAAATAGTTTAGCTGAAGTATTCAGTGTTGCCACTTAGCACACATACATTATAACAATAAATAAAATCCAGGAAATGGCTGAATTTGGTGGCTGAAAATGTTTTGTGATACTGCAGCCTGCCATGAGAGTATTTAGTTCCAGGGCAACTAAATAAATCAATAAAACAAAAAAAATCTGTTCATAAGTTTTCAGTACAATTCCTATGTACAAGTTGAATGCAGATTTATGTTGAGGAATGTGTTGTGTTTTGTCATAAAATCCTAGATTCATGTATATCATTACTCTCACATCGTAATACATTTAACTGTGATAAAATTATTGAAGTTATAAATGAGCTTGGAGGCTCGAAAGCTTTAATTGCAGTGTGCCATGCAATTAATAAATATATTTTTCAGTTATGTTTAGTTGTGATAAATCCCACCAGAAAAACCAAACCCAGCCCCTCAAAAAGCAAACCTCACATATGGAAAAGTTAAAAAGGAAAGGCTTAGATTTTGTAATTGTCAGTTGAACAGACTGGCTTGAAAAAAGCGTGGAATTAAGTGTTACACCATATTTCACAGGCAATTATCCAGTAAGTAATACAGATTATTCCTATAGACCTTGGATTTTAATAGTTTTCTTATGAGGGGAATTTAATTGGGATTATATGCAGGATTCTGCAGTGATTTGGAAATTACATAACTCTGGTTATGAGAACCTGAATCATGCTCTGCTATTCTTAAGAAAATGATGTTTTGAAAGTTGTCATGGTTGAGAATGAGAATTCCTTTTATTTGGGGAGTCTACTTTGTTTTCTCAGTTACAGCAAAATAGGAAAGTGTTTTTCTTGCTTTTGTAGCTTTTTGTTTCAGTGTGATTCTCTGACTGAGATCTGCTTTCTCTTGTCCAGGGGAAGAGTATCAGAGAATAGAATTTGGTGTTAATGAAGTTATCGAGACTCAGCCATCTGTCCTGAACAACACCGACTACAGCATTTCGAGCACTCTGAACCCTCAGGCTCCAGAATTCATTCTCAGCTGTGCCCCCGCTCAGAAAAGCCCAGATGATGCTCTCAGCGACGCCAACTACAACTCCATTGACTGCCAGTTCAGTGACCCCACCCTGGCTCTGGACAGCGGCTCCAACGCCGAAAACGACGCCTTGGCTGGGGGCCTGGGGCAGAGGGAGCGCAAAAAGAAGAAGAAAAGACCGCCCGGGTACTACAGTTACCTGGAAGATGTCCCTGACGCCGTGGCCGCCCCCGAGGCGCTGGTGAACGGCCACGCCTCGGCCGCGGGACTCGGCGGCGCCGAGGACACGGAGCTGCCCGGAGACCTCCCCTCGCTGGCCACGCCGAGGACTTGCAGCAGCCCCGGCAGCTCCGTGGATTTCCTGGCCGGAGCTGCGTGTGCCGAGCCCGGCCCCGGGGGCAGGACTGGCGGGCAGGCCGAGCTTTGCCGCCTGGCTCACTCGGAACAGTTCTGCCTCCCCCCGGAGGCCGTCAGAGAGAGCCCCCTAAGGACAGCTGTTGTACAGGCCTATGCCGGTACTGATACTACTGAAACTCTGGGCGTTAGTAATGGACAAACACTTGAATCCTCCTCTGGTGAGGACACGGCTGCCAATGGGGTAGAATTGCACACTGTGGAAAGCTCTGACTCAGACCAAGCTAAGCCTGAGGAAGCTTCACCTACTACTGAGGCGACGGTCCCGCTCGCAGGATCTGTCCCTGTTAATCAGCCTGCAAAGTCGTGGGCTAGTCTTTTTCACAATTCCAAGCCCTCTGCTTCCACATCTGTGGTCTATGTTGAGACTAAGTATACCCCTCCTGCCACATCTCCTCTGGTCCCTGAAAAACAGGTTGAAGTCAAAGAGGGACCTGTTCCAGTTTCAGAGGATCCCGTAGCCATAAAGATTGCAGGTATAGTTACACACACGAGTGGATGTTACACTGCAATGTTACGCTGTTCACACTCCTTGTGAACAGGAGTGTGCAGAATTGATAGAGAACATTCCTCTGGTAATGAGCTGGCTGTTCAAACACTGCATTTGAATTAGCCAGTTTGTATCCCCCTGAGTAAACATTCCAAGCAGGCATTGCCATGTCGTTATCCCAGGTACAGGGAAACTATTGCTGCTTGTCAAACAACTTGTCAAACAGTCTGTGGAAGTGATCTGTGGTTTCAAATGGGCTGTGTGCTGTTACAAAAATGAGACTATGTTAGGTTTGTTCAGAAAATGGTGTGTTACAATATCCAATATTTACAATTTTGTAGTATTCTATTGCAAGAAGAGCATTACTGTATTTATACCAAAGTAGCTGAAATTCCTGGGCACTAAACAGCAGTTGAAGTGTAATGGCTACATAGGTCTTGCTTCAGAAATTTCAATTCAGAAAATAACTATATTTACTAAAATGCTTCTTGAGGGGTCTCTCCTTCCAATTTAACCATTACAAACAGTATTGCTTTATCCATAACCAATACTTGCTGTGCCCAGCTCAGGAATAACCCTCAGGAGTTGTCCAGAGGGGACATCAGGACAGGGAATGAGTGATACAAAAGCTTTGACTCTTGGTCCTGTCATATTTGTGCTCTTAATGGGAAATGCTAGAAGCTGCAGGAGGCTGGTTGTGCAGATTCAGCCAGAAATGGTGAAGTTCTCCCAGCTTGGGTGCATTTTGTGTCACTGACTCACCAGTGTTGGAACCAAAGGAATTATTTTAATTCTGTGAAGTGGTCACTGTGTGAGATGGCTTTGTGCAGAGTCCTGCTGTTTATGCTGCAAGCTCATTTACAGGTGCAATGCTGCTTTGAAAGTGACAGCTTCAAGTCAGGTTTCCACTCTGAGCAGAAGCTGACCTGAGATGATGTCCACAGTGCCCAGAATTGTGTGCTGCCTCTCCTCCCCTCCTTACTCAGCAATGGTTTCAGTACTCAGAATTGTCTGTTGGGAGAAAAGCTGTCAGAATAATTTATATTTCAGTGTATTTTCCACTGAGATATCACAAACACTGTATTACAACAATATATATATAAAAGAGCAGGTGAATACAGTCTGTATGAACCCATATGGAGAATGTTGTCTTAAAATCTCAAGCTATCATTTGGTAGTGATTTTTAACTTAAAGCTATTTTGTGACCATCATAAAGCTAGGATTGCTTGCCATGAATGGAAAAGGTTTTTTCTCTTGTCCATGTTGTTCCAGCTGTAAGTTAACTTTCTAGACTTTCACTGTTTCTGTACTATTTTTTGCCACCAGGTGGGAGCAGAGCTTTTTATTCTGTCTTCACTGTAGTAAAACACAAATGTAACTTTTACCCAGTTTTCTTCTGCACCTTCACTATTTGCTTGCTCTTTGGGCAGAGGAATAATCTGAATATGGATAAAAGGAATTCATCTGCTCATTGTAGCTGGTTTAGGTAGGAGTTATTGCTGCAATTCCTGTAATTCAGATGCTGCTGATTTTGGTGTAAAATGTTTACTTGGAGATTGAAATGCCATGTGATCAGTGCTCTGCTCTGTGGAAAAAGGTGCTTTTCTTTAATTTCTTTATATGTACTCAAAAAACAGGTACCTGAGTGCTTTGTTCATCCTCCCACACTCAAAAATGTGCTACAAGAGCTTCAGTTCATGCTTTCCAGACAGATCATTTGCTCTGTTCTGTAGGTAAATTTTAAATCTCCTGCCTCCCTGATCATCACTGTGAGAGGCTCTGTGTGTTTGTCAGGTGTGTTCCTTGTTTTCCCTGTGGCTGAGTTGAGATCCCCCTGTTGGGTTTGTTGTGAATTCAGCAACTTCAGCTCATGCCAATGGGAATGAAATTTGTACCACAAGTTCCATGGGGTGCTGGACACAGGTAAACTCTACACCTGAATTAGCAGGCAAAATGAACAAATCCAATTAACAAATCAAATTAACAAACAACCCAGTGCTGGAGTGCCAAGGTCCTTCTGCACAGTTTTTATTTAGAACACAAGAAGAGGAGTTGCTTTTCCAGGGACAAATTGTTGGTTTGTACTTCAATTTCAGCAGTTATTACAAGGGAGGTTAATGATTCACAGGCCCCCTGAAGATCATTTAATGCTGCTTAATTCAGCCTGCAGAGATCTGTGCTTCCTTTAGTCTCAAAGACAGAAGCTACACAAGGTAAGGAGATGATCAGGACTAGAAAATAAATAGACAAATTTCATGTTAATCTTGATGAGAAACAAAGGCAGAAGAGGTAATTTTAGCAAGTGCCCAAGGTGCATCTGCTGTGCAGGTGCAGAAAGGGACAATGTGATGCAGTAATTATGCACCACAGCCTAATTTAGATGCTAGGACAAACATTTTAATAATTAATATCTATGGGATAGTAAGGTCATAAATTATATTGGTGAAAAATACGACTCTTCAGGGCTTTACTTGCCACATTTCACAGCTGGTCCCCTACAATTATAACTGATAATTAATAATGCCTTATATAGTGTAGGAAATAAGTGATTGGAAAAATATCAATTCTCCGAGTAGTCTTTTAACTATTCTTGGTGATCTTAGGAAAAATTGCAGTGAGAGAATCTAAACCAATTTTCTGAATCATATTTTCTTGCAGTGTTTTCACTGTGGGTGATGGAGGTAACAGTGCTCATAAAATCTGTTTACAGCAGACAGGATTTCAGGTGAATCAAAGAACAGAAACTTTTAAGATCTGATTAAATCTGGAATGATTTTAAATTAGAAGGAAGGGAATCCAATAAATGCAAGTGTGGAAGACACCAGAACACCAAACCAAATGAGAGTACAATGTGAAGAACTAATGGTGGACAGATTAGACAAAAAGATCTGGAGGCTCTAGGGAATTGATGAGTCTCTTTAGTACATCTGAAGAAAACAAAGTTTTTTTCACCAGTGTGTGTTAATACCAATTTACATGGAAAACATGGAAAATAACAAATTCTGCTGTGGAGGACTTGATGCAATGGCAGTCTTTGGGCTTTCCTTCTGAAGGAAAATTTCATGGTACAGCAGCAAAAATGGAAATAAGATTTAAAAACCATGTGGGCAAACATGAAATATTCAGAGTTAGTTTGTGTCAGATGATATTGTTGGCACGACTGTGGTTGTAAATCCAAATTTACAAAACAAATCCATAAAGAAGATGGTGATTCATAAAGTGAAGGAGATCACTTCTGCCAAGGCTAGTGATAAAATGAAATTCATTCACATTGTAAGAAAGGTGTTTCAATGTCATATAGTAGAAGATTTTTTCTCATTGTAAAGGTAGGTAAATGCTAGAGCAAGGAGTTGTGGAGACATCCAGGATCTGGGGGTTTTATAATCTTCAGCAATGCAGCCTTTTGTACATTCAGACTTGTTTCTTACAGGAAATGTTTTTGTTTAGGGACATCCAGCAATGTTGTCCTGGGATTTTTTAGGCCTTGTCCAGATTTGAGGAAAGATCAGAGTGACAGAGACAATATTCTCTAAATCAGGGCCTTAAGCCAAGAGTTCAGTTCCTGACTTGTAAGCACCTTTATCCCTTCAGCATGGACACCACATCCACGGGGCTCCTCTTGCCTTAAACTCTGGAGTTGCTTTGTTAGGAAATCACCTTGCTAAAGAAAAATGTGAGAGGTAATTGTAATAACAAAACCCAATTAATAATTCTGTTTACCAACAGAAATGTCTGAACATTTCCTCATTTCACAAATCAGTACCCTCCAAAGGGTACTAGGTGATGACATGAGCTTTCCAACAGGTTTTGAAATGTTAAGATTTTCTCACAGTCGTCTGTTTTTCTTCTGGTACATTTGTAAAAGTTCTTTAGTTACTGTGTGTTAATGTGAGCTGGAAATGTGCTGCTGGATGTAATTGCTGTAGACAAACCCAGGTCTTTGTTAAAAGAAGCAAAACTCCAGCAATGGCACTGGAGCCTGTTCCCAGAGCAGCTTTGTGACCACAAGAGGATGCTAAAGGTCCTCTTAATGCCTTTATTGAGCATGATGCAAAAACGGGGAAGAAAAGAGTTAATGTAAAAAGTTATTGGTAGACACAAAAAATAGAACTTTTCCTGTTACTTTTATCCTTGTTTTCAACAATGATGAATTATGTCAACAGAAATACTGTGTGTGAACACAGTTCAAATGTTGCTGCTCTGACAATACATTCTGAAGCACTTGAGCAGCAATTTAATAACATATTTTAGCCTTCACTAGAAAAGAATCTTATTCTGCATCTGTGCTACCTCATCTTCCATTTTACATTTCTTTGCTGTCTGCTCTTTCAGGTGGCATGTTCTTTATGTAATAGACAAGGGAATGAAACTTTTTTATTTTTTTGTCAATTTTGTTTGCTTAGAACTGATGTTATCTGCAGGAAATATGATCTTATAGATAGGGGAGATAGCTTGGCAGCAGAAGGATGTGGATTTTGTTTGCAGTTCTGCCATCTCCTCTGCTTACTTTCAACTTTGTACCTCTGCTTTTGTACCTACATCATGTTATTTTATCTTTTTAGTCCTGTAGCGAACAGCTCAAATCCTTTCAGGTTATAGCATGTAAAACCTTTACAGCTCCTCACATTTATTATAAAAAAACTAACCCCACTGGTACACAATTGCTGTATTTACTTGCAGTTTGTATTTTGTCTTGTATACACCTTATTTTGCAAGTTTAAAGTTTATGAGCTCCAATATTTTCTTTGAACAGTTCTTATTTAGGTTTCTAAATAACAGGTCAGGATTCCTGGAAAAGCTCCTTTTGTTGTTCTTGGTTTCATAACTGGGACAGACTAATGTGCAGTGGTTTCTAAGTTTTCAGCTTGGGTTTTGAAAGCAGGAAAGAGCAGGAATTATATTATGTAAGGCTTTTATCTCGTAGATTTTGGAAGTGTTAAATAAAACTGTGTGTTCTGAAGAGCAGAGCACATCAGTCTATGTGTTTGCACTGAGATGATTTTGTTATAAGATTGGTGAAACTTCTGAACTGAAACTGCTGCACTGACTTCATCCCTCTTCAAAGCAGAAAAATGTGGGAAATACTTCATAAAGCTGGTGACAAGTGATTCCAGCTGATTGCATTTTATATCTGTGTATGTATCTATGTAGCAATATAAATAAAACATCTGGATTTAGGGAAACAAACACTCAAATCAGTAGATCTTGCTATGGAATGATCAGTTTTGTATCAGCATCTCCTGCTTTGAATCCCAGGATCTTCAGTGGAAGAAAAACGTCTGGTTTGGAGTGAGAGCAGTGGGTAAATGGAGTGGAAATCATCTGCTGGAGGTTCTGGGAATCTTCCTCATTGGTTTGAATTTCTCTGTGATGCTGCAGCAGATATTTGTTTGATGTTGATGCTCAATTGACTGTTTCTCATTCTGCAGAAATACTGGAAAATGTAAGACTAATACATAAACCAGTGTCTTTGCAACCCCGAGGGCTGATCAACAAAGGAAACTGGTGCTACATCAATGCTGTATCCTTCCCTGGGAAAAATTAATGCTCTTAATTGATATTTTTATATTATATCTGTCAGAGTTGTTTTGGATTGTTCTGGTAAGTATTTTATAAAAGTGTTTTGTTTTCCCAGATCCTGCTGCTGTGGTTAAAATGTTGAAATGTAGCAGCCAGCAATCCAGGGGGATTTTGGGTCATTGAGCCTGGTGTGCAGGGTTCCCCTGCAATCCTGTTTGCAGTTTGTCAAAATATTTCAGAGCTGTAACTTCTCCTGACTGAAACCCTGGTGATTTCTAGCAGTGTTTCCCCTCGATTCTGTGCATCCATTTAAATGGTTATTTCTCTTTTGCACTTGAAGTAACTGTTCTTGCACTTGGGCTTTGTTTTGCAGTTTTAAATGGATCATTTGGGTTTGTGCTGAGCAGGTTTTCACTGTTATCTCATCTGTGTCAATCAGCATTTAATCTAAATTAATCCTACTACAAATTTACATATAGAAGATGAGTTTGCTCTTAATGAATTGGAGTTGTATTCCCCTGCAAAAATAACTTTTACCCTGAGGAACAGAAAACACCTTCCCTCCATGGTATACTGTGATATTAATAAAAATATTAATAATTAAGAAGAATTGTCTCCCATGTCAGCAGTGTGACACTTGGGATACTTCCAGTGCTGGTGCTGCCAGTGAAAAATGTTAACACCAATTTCAAGACTGATCATGGCAGATCCTAATGAACTATTTCTAGGCCAACAACTGTGCCTTAAATAAAGCTTTTATCTTACTTAACCAGTTCTGCACATTTGGTTATGTACACTATATATCTTAGCTCCCATTTTTTCAGTCTTGAGGTTTTACATTGGTTTTTGCACATTGCAGGGGATCAAATTAATCTCTCTTCAACTTTTGAGATCGATGCCTTATTTTGCCATTTCCCTTTCCCTCCAGTTTTTTAGTGCATTTCTTCTGTTTACTGCTCTCACCAAGTTGTGATTTTGTAGAGTATCATTCTCCCAGCATATCTGGAGTTTTCCAGTTTGCTCCTGACCCTTTGCAGTGCAGAATGTCTCACATCTCAGCAGGTTTTGCTTTGGTTGCAGGGGTGACTCAGCACCTTTAAGTTTCAGCTGGTTTCTTCCATTCTTCTCAGAAAATGTGTTCCAGGTTATCTCCTGCCAATTTTCTAATGGTTAATTCTCTAAAGTCCTTCCTGTGAAAGTTCTTTTCCTCTCCTCCTCCTGGATTAAGTTTCCTTTGCCATGAATTCAAGTTTTTGCCACGATTAAAATATCAGTGAAATCACCGCATGTTCCACGATGCTCGGGTTTTTTTTAATACAACTTCTGTATATTGGTTAATGTTGTGATAAAGCTTCATCCTCTTTTCCAGTTAAATTCTTGGATTGATCGACTTCATAAGGAAAACAGAGCTGCATTTTTATTGTTTTGCATGTAATTGAATATTTGGTTAAAACGCAGATGCCATTTCCTGCATATTTCCTTAATGCCACTGCATAGACCCTGCAAGCCTTGGTTGCTTGCCCTCCAATGTATCATTTAATGAAGTCCATTCCAATGTATTCCAAATCGCAGAGGCCGTGCACCTCCACACCAATGCTAGACAGTTTGTAAGTAGCTTGGGAAAAAGGAATCAAACTCTGGGATGTGGCTGAACTCCTTCAGAAATACCTAACAATGGCTGTTGATAAAAGCTGATCTATGGCTGGAAGTTTTTCATGTGTTTTTTGGGTGACACTCTTATAATGAACTTGGTGTTTTACAAGTGCTTGGATTGTCAAGGAAGAGAATTCCTGTTGCATTGGGAGTGTCAGTTTTGTGAAGTATTTAATGTGCAAAATTGAACTGTGGGAGGTGCAAGGACCAGCCCAACACCTGGGTTTCAGTGCAGTGATCAGGTGGATTTTTTTGTCTGAACTTCACCCAGATTTCTGTGATACTCTGATTTTGTTTGTTTTGGCAGTCAGAGTGACAATGTTCTAATTTTATTATTTGTTCTTGTAAGTGTTAAATTGCTGCTCATGTCCAGTGTCTTCCCTTCTGTTTCAGTGTTCGTTTAATGAATGAGTTCACTAATATGCCTGTGCCTCCTAAAGCAAAGCAAGGTGAGTGGGAGCAGGGGCACAAGCAGAAAATGGTGGGGAGAAGCCTTTGGGGTAAAGCTCTGCATGGGGGAGGTGTTGCACCTTGGATTTTTTCCTTGTATTTGGTAGACCAAGTGTAGAAGTGCAATAGGAACCGTTTTTGTTGAAGGTTCACTTATTTTAAAGATGCCTTCTAAGAAAATGCCCTTTCTAAGAAAATCAATTGATACTCCCTGCATTTTCCTCCACTTCCTTCCACAGTTCCAACTGTTTGTTTATCAGATTGCTCAATTCTGCTCCTTAAATCCTGAACATTCACTGATTTGGAACAAAATGTGCCCAGAACAGGTCCCTTAAGCACTTGATGTTGCCTACAGGAATATTATCCTGGCTTCTGATTCCAGCGGGAAAACTTCAGACAGATCTGATTTCTCCTAATACATATTTATTCATACATATTTAGGCTCAGTGGTGATTATGAAGTGAGGAACAGCATATTTTTTGATGCAAATAAATGATCTTAAAGGTTTCAGTTGTTTAATCTTCATTTTAAGCCAAGTCTGTTGTATTGCAAACTTGTAGAAACAAGCACATTCCTGAAACTATTCTTTATGTAACATGATAAGGAAATATCAGGAGGAGCTGGTTGTTCCAGTGATTTCCAAACAGTTCAGACATTTCTGTGGTTTCTTTCTGTGAAACAAATCTTACTGGCTTATGCAACTTATTTTACTTGTAGGTCATTTTCTTGTGTAGTTTTCAAGTACAGTTCTGAGGCCTTGTATTGCCATTAGTGGAACATTTTGTCAGGCTATTCTTGGGGTTTTTATTCTGCAGTGAGCAAAAGGGATCTGTTAAAAAATGCAGATACACAGAAGGTTTAAGGATGTGTTCTTTGAGTACTAAAGAAATAGAAAAATGCAAATAGCACTAAAAGTGTTCTTTTACGATGGCTGTTGATATTCTTGTTAATCTCAGAACTTTTCCTGTCTGTGAGTTTATGCAGGGTGATAGGTTTTAAAGCAATGAGGGTTGTGTCTTGTAACTTCTGACCTCAAGACCCCAAATTACAATTAAGCCATTAGTAAAAAAAGTGCTGGACTGCAAAACTAGTGATATGTGAAGAGACTATTAAGCTATAATGTAAAAAATCCCTTTTATTTATTATTACTCACATGAATTCTCTTTCACCTTGCAGCTTTAGGTGATAAAATAGTGAGAGACATCCGACCAGGAGCTGCCTTTGAACCAACCTACATTTACAGGCTCTTGACAGTTATAAAGTCAAGTCTGTCAGAAAAGGTGAGACTTCAAATCCTTCACTTGTGCCACTGCATTGCAGGGCAGTCCCAGCCCTTAAAAACTGCAAAAAAACCTCAGGCTCTGCTCAAATGCCACTAAAATCAGCTCATGGAGAGCTCATGGTAATAAAGCTCAACTGTCTTGGGACCTGAATTACAGGGAAATCTTAATTACAGGTTTGGCAGTTTGATATGTCAGAATAATGGAAAAATTACTGTTGGAATGGAACATGTCTTTTTATAATGGAGTTACCAATTGATTTACATTTAAAAAATGAGCAGTTGTTCATTTTTATGAGGAATTCAGCTAAGACTGATTGAAGGTCAGGTTTAATTTCAATATAAAGAAAAGATAATAATTCAAACTATTCTTTGATTTGGCCTTGGCTTGACAGCAACTTTTAAGAGTGGCTGTAAAAGAAATGGGGAGAAAAAATTTCAGCTCACACATTAAATGGAATTTGTATTGAGAAAAATGCAGAATTCTTTTAATCATTGTAGAACTGATGTGTGTATTTACTGCTTAGCACAGTTTGGGTTTAACTAGTTAAAAAAGACTTTGTCTTATAATAAAATATAAACTTTATTTGGCATAACTTTAGACTGAGTAATTGCTAAATTTATAGGAGAATGCTGGATTTGTTCAGTGTCATGAACCTTCTGTTAAAAGGACACCATGAAAATATCATAGAATTAATTGAAAAAAATATTTTGTTCAGGGCAGGCAAGAGGATGCTGAAGAATACTTGGGATTTATCCTCAATGGACTACATGAAGAAATGCTGACCCTCAAGAAACTTCTCTCTCCACATAATGAAAGTTAGTGGATTTTGTTTTTTTAATAGCAAACAATTAATTTCAAATATTGTTTTTTTGGGTGATTCCATATTAGAGTAGTGCTTGGAGTAGAGGTTGAGATAGGGATAGAATATCATGTTTTAGAGGACTGGGACATAAGCAAATAATATTTTGGTAAATTCTGGATACAGTGAGTGCATTCTGCCCAGTTTATGGATGATCTGGGAAAGGCATCATGGCTCTGTCAATACTCTGAATTGTAAATCACATCCCTTTCTCCTAAACAACAAAACTCAATATCACACATTTTCCTGAGCCCAGCTGAGCATTATTTGAGGCTAACTCTAGTTTATCTGTCCTAAACTCTAGTTCATCAGTTTGTCATTTATAACACATGTAATGTCAGTGGGTTTTGACTCTCCATGGGAGTTCAAAAGTGCATCAGTGTCTTTTTCACTGACCTATAAACCAACTGTTAAAATCTTTCTTTTTCTATCTAATACAAACCAACCTACTAAATTATATGGAAATTCTTATAAAGTTGGAGGTGAATTTGCTTTGAAAGTACTACTAGAATTTGTATGCTGAGTTAAATGTCATTTTAGTTTATTTATAGAGGCTTTAACTTGAACCCTTTCACAAATAAAATCCTGCAACCCATAGCCAAGTAAGAATTCACATCACCAGTTACCCAATTTCTCTGTAGCAGGGTAAATTTTTTAGGATATAAAGTCATACCATATTTTGTTCCTTAGCTCTGTGCAGTTTATAACCTGAATTTGAAGGTTGAAAAAATATTTGTTAAGCTTTGGGTTCCCTGTAAAATACCTGTGCAGAAAAGGAGTTGGATTTAATAATGGCATAATTCTGTTGCCAGAATAACACTTGGCTTTCTAATTTTCTACCCCATAAATTTACTACTAAAAATATATCAAACTTTGATATTTACATACAGTCATCAGTGAATGCCTTCTGTTAACACATGGATGTGTCATGCAGGGAGCAAAGTTGGAACATGCTTGTTCTTTCTAAATTAAAAAAATAATGGTTTTAAAATTAAAACGATTATGCATTTTTTGGGGGTTTTACTGAGAATTATTTAGGGATTTTTTGGGATTTTGGGGGGAATTTTTAGGGATTTATTGGGAGTTTTTTTGGGAATTTTAAGGGATTTTTGGGGACTTTTTGGGATTTTTTTAGTGAATTTTTAGCAAATTTTGGGACATTTCTTAGTAATTTTAAAAAATTTAGGGGATTTTGGGGCATTTTTCGGGGGAATTTTTAGAGATTTCTTGGGAGTTTTTTGGGGACTTCTTGGGATTTTTTAGTTAATTTTTAGCAATTTTTGGGGCATTTTTTGGTAATTAAAAAAACTTTTAGGGGATTTTTTTAGCGATTCTTTAAGGGTTGTGGGGCATTTTTTGGGGAATTTTCAGGGATTTATTGGGAGCTTTTTTGGGAATTTTTAAGGGATTTTTAGGGGACTTTTTGGGATTTTTTTGGTGAATTTTTAACAATTTTTGGGACAGTTTTTAGTAACTTAAGAAAAAAATTTAGTGGATTTTTTAGGGATTTTTGGGCATTTTTGGGGATTTTTTGGGGGGATTTTTAGGGATTTATTGGGAGTTTTTTGGGAATTTTAAGGGGACTTTTTAGTAAATTTTCAGCAATTTTGGGGAGATTTTTGATAATTTAAAAAAAAAATTAGGGCATTTTTTAGGGATTTTTAATAGGATTTATTAAGATTTTTAATGGGATTTTAAGGGGATTTTTAGAGGGTTTTTAGGGGGTTTTAATAGAATTTTTGGGGGATTTTTGAAAACACATTATCCTGAATTATTTCTATTGGGTTTTCTGCTGTTTGTATTGGGTTTTTTACTTTTCAAATCCTCTATCTGCCTGGATCTTTATTTGTAAATGTGTCTGACCCTGTGTTTTCCCCGATCACTGCAGAGGTGTCGGTGTCCAACGGCCCCGAGGCCCAGAGTGTCCCCAAGGAGGAGGAGCAGGAGGAGCAGGGCGAGGGCAGCGAGGACGAGTGGGAGCAGGTGGGACCCCGCAACAAATCCTCGGTCACTCGCCAGGCTGACTTTGTGCAGACCCCCATCACTGACATCTTTGGGGGCCACATAAGGTACAGTGCTGATTTCTACAAGTTCTTGACTTGAAGTGGTTGAATCTTTGAAAATGTCTTCAATGAAAAGTCTGTTGTGAGGTCCCGAGCCCTGAATTGCATGGAATTCAGGAAATGAAAAGGAAAAGGAAAAGGACTTGCCTAATTTTAGGAGTTTTTGCCTATTTTTATGACCTTTGAGGAATCTCATCTCATGTTATGAGAGAGAATGAGATTCATGTTGTTTTATCTTTAAGATTTAAGACATCTTTGAAAATGTCTTAAATGAAAAGACTGTTGTGAGGTCCCGAGCCCTGAATTGCATGTGGAAAAGGACTTCCCTAATTTTAGGAGTTTTTGCTTATTTTTATGACCTTTGAGGACTCTCATCTCATGTTATAACTAAGGATACTGAGAGAGAATAAGATTCACATTGTTTTATCTTTAAGACATCTTTGAAAATGTCTTAAATGAAAAGTCTGTTGTGAGATCCCGAGCCCTGAATTGCATGGAATTCAGGAAATGAAAAGGAAAAGGACTTCCCTAATTTTAGGAGTTTTTGCCTATTTTTATGACCTTTGAGGAATCTCATCTCATGTTATGAGAGAGAATGAGATTCACGTTGTTTTAAGATTTAAGACATCTTTGAAAATGTCTTAAATGAAAAGTCTGTTGTGAGATCCCAAGCCCTGAATTGCATGTGGAAAAAGACTTTCCCAATATTAGGAGTTTTTGCCTATTTTTATGACCTTTGAGGACTCTCATCTCATAACTAAGGATACTGAGAGACAGTGAGATTCACATTGTTTCATCTTTAAGATTTAAGACATCTTTGAAAATGTCTTAAATGAAAAGTCTGTTGTGAGATCCCAAGCCCTGAATTCCATGGAATTCAGGAAAGGAAAAGGAGAAGGACTTGCCTAATTTTAAGAGTTTTTGCCTATTTTTATGACCTTTGAGGAATCTCATCTCATGTTATGAGAGAGAATGAGATTCACATTGTTTTATCTTTAAGATTTAAGACATCTTTGAAAATGTCTTAAATGAAAAGTCTGTTGTGAGATCCTAAGCCCTGAATTGCATGTGGAAAAAGACTTTCCCAATTTTAGGAGTTTTTGCCTATTTTTATGACCTTTGAGGACTCTCATCTCATAAATAAAGATACTGAGAGAGACTGAGATCACATTGTTTTATCTTGACAGTAAAACAATTCATTCAAACATAAAAACTTGTGAATTTTAGGTTATTCAGACCCTTCATGCTTCCCAGAGAAAGCTGTGTTTAATAGTAAAGAAATGTTAAAGGAAAAAGAAGTCTGGAAAAATGTAAATTGTTACAAGATGTTACTGGAATGAAAAGAATGTGGCATATCACTTCTGTGCAGGTCTGATAGCAGACAAAGGCAGAAAGGAGAATCTGAATGTTTTTTTGCAAAGGAAACCTCCTGACTTGTTTGGAGAAAAGTATAATTTAAAATGAAAGCAAAGTAAACACTTGCTAAAAACACACAGCAAAACAAAACTGCTAGACTTGAAGAATTATTTTTAAACTGGAGACAGACACTTAATTGCTGGTGTTTGACTCTCTGTGTTGCCAGATATTGAGTCTAGAAGTGTGAATAATGTGGGCTAGTGCCTTCTGCCTTGGAAATGCTCTGAAATTATTTATTCTTCTGGGTTTTGAGCCAGACAGCTGGTAAATAAAATTATATTTTCCATAGAATTTGGTAGACAGATGTTTGTAGGTATTGATGGAATCCTGCATCAATGGTTCACATATCCAAGGTGCTGTTAATACCCCAGGTGTATTTACCAGAATTTGTCACAATTGTTTAGATATCTACATAATTCCATCAGTTTTTATATTAAAAATACTGAGATGATGACAGTTTTCTGTAGAAGTCCATGAAAATGAAATAAAGCAAAGGTAGTACTGGAAAAAGGGAAAACATTGCACTGAGCAGCTGAACCACGGGATCCAATCCAACATCTGCTGGCACCACATCCACTTTATTTATCCTTCACACCACAGAAGCAGCATCCCCTGGGATGTGGGAAAGCTTCATCCTCAGGGGTGGAGATGGGAAGGGCTGAATATAAAACTGCCAGTAGAATTCCACTAAATCAGAGCTTCAGGAACTGGAAAAATCCAATGGGAAAAGCAGTGAGGAAAAGATGATTTCAATTGGCATCTTCTGTCTGGGGAAACTTCAGGCTTGGGAGGTTTTAGGCTGTCCTTGGGAGGCTTGAGTCTATTAAATGTCTATTTAGGCTTAATTACTTAAAAACCCCAGCCTATAAAGCCTTTCTTAGCAACATGAGGCTTAAGTGGGAAGTACAAAGTTTTCCTGGGAATTCTTGCAGTGCTTGAGTAATTTTTCATTGAAAATTATGGATTTTCCCATGTCCAGCTGAGATTTGTAATTATTCTCATTAGGGGCATGGTTATAGAGAAATCATAGCCCAGTGAAGATTTTGCTATCAAATTAATTTCTGCATACCCTGTGAAGAAAATATCCCGAAGAGGTGTTGAAATATAATTTCTGTTTTTTAAAACAAAGGTGCTGCTGTTCATGCATTCTCTCCCTCTAAAGGATATATATTTGCCAATATTAAGCTGCATTGGCTTTGTGTTGGTGCTTCAGGGCTTTGCCTGAGTAAAAAAAGCTCTTTTTGTTATCCTGAACATTAAAATTAACCTGAATGTTAACACTTCCTTCCTGACCTGGAAATATTCCAGCATGGCCAAATGGGTCAGAGCTGTGTTAATTACAATTCTGCTTTCAATAGATAACGACATAATAATTTATATACATGGACAAAGTCTTGGTACAGAAAATGATGGGAAGAAAATGAACTGCCAGTCCTCAGTGGAGCATAGCTTATATTTTCTATGGCAAGATTTAAGCAAACACTATAAAATCAGTATAAAATTGGTTTTAGAGAAGTGACTGGAAATAATAGTGTATTTTTATTGGAGAATCTGGAATCAGCTGTGAGTTTTACAGTACAACACAGATAATCACTGGCACTTTGCACTTGTGAAGAGCTGGTGGAAAACTAAACTAACAAAAAGAGCCAGGAGGTGAATTTTTAAAAAATGCTTATCAAAATTTTCAGTCTTTTTCTTTAAACTTTGCATGAATAAAACAGTTCAGTTACATTCAGAATCCTTTTAGTAGACGAAAATAATTTAAATTGGGATAAGTTGTTAAAACTTGATGTTAAATATAAATTGAGTTACTTAAGTAACTCATTCTTCCTTGAAGGTTCTGTCTGGTTGAAAACCACTCTTTATTTCATTTTGATTCCTTTTTTTCTCCACAGATCTGTAGTTTACCAGCAGAGTTCCAAGGAATCTGCCACGCTGCAGCTTTTCTTCACCCTGCAGCTGGACATCCAGTCGGACAAGATCCGCACGGTGCAGGATGCCTTGGAAAGCCTGGTGGCCAGGGAGTCTGTGCAGGGCTACACCACAAAAACCAAGCAGGAGGTGAGTTCTGCTCAGCCCTTCCTCACAGCCAGCTGCTAAACTTTTAATTTAAAAGGGTTTTCATAGAGCTCTGGCTTTACAGAGAGTTGTTGGAGCATGCTGTAACAAAATAGGCACAAACCTTTTCAGCGTCCTGGAGCAGTGAGGTGTCAGCTCTAAAACAAAGCCAGGCCTGTAAATAATTAAGGCTTGAGTTGATGTAATAATTTATTGGAGATTTTAATGGAGAATATACTAAATTATCAGGCTGAATTGTGGTAAAGATACATAATTTTATGTTCAATATCCTAACTTACTGATTCCTGGGGATTGCCAGATGCTGTTATTAAAGGAGCAGCTCTTCTGAGTTTATTTTTTATAAACTTTATATTTTATAAACTTTATATTTTTATAAACTTTATATTTATAAACTTTATGTTTATAAACTTTATATTTATAAACTTTATATTTTATAAACTTTATATTTTATTTATATAAATTTATTGATTCCTGGGGATTGCCAGATGCTGTTAGTAAAGGAGCAGCTCTTCTGAGTTTATTTTTTATAAACTTTATATTTTTTATAAACTTTATATTTTACATATAATACATGATAGCAATAGCTACAATAGAAAAGTACTTACAAGGAGGAAAAGCATGCCTTTGGTTTGGCACTTTGGAGGATAATAATTAAATTTCCCTCACTAAGGCCTTGCCTTTTTTCCTGTGGTGGGCTCTTGTAAAGGCATCTCTGGTGTGCGGGGATTGTCACCTGGAATTCCATGGTCACTGTTGGTAACTCTGGAATTGTAGCTGTTCCTCTGACTTTCCTGTCTGTAAGTTTTCAAAATCCTCCAAGTGAGAACAGGATTAGATAAAGAAAGGTTCATTTCCCTTAGAAAGCTAAAGATGAATAGCAGAAATTTGTTTACCTTGAGTATTCAGAACACATATCTCTCCAGTTGTTTTCCATGTGAAGAAAACATTTGCAAGCTGATTATGATTTACCACAAAGATCTTGTTTTGCCTGCCATTCATTTTTTCTTTTTTTACTGCAAATAGTTTAGAGTTTTTGACTGGACAACCCAGTGCTGGGTTGGAAGAAATGAGTTAGGTACTTCGTGATATTTCAGAGTTTGGATGGAAATACAGGCACCCACAGTGTCTTCCAGATCATTTTTCAAAAGAAATTCAAATTGAAATAGTTGGTTTTTGTATTAAAATTGTAGTAAAAACACTGAATATATTGTCTGTAAAACCTTGGAAAGATATAGTACTTTTCCCCCATGAGTTTCTATTCAACACATAGGTTCTAGCAGAATCAAGCCATGTATTGAAAAATAATATGATCATGGTTACCAATAAAGAGATTTTTCTCAAAAAAATGAAGAAAAACCTTAAATAGTTATTTTGAGAAATATTTTCATGTCTTCATTTCTTGGAAGGGAAAACATTTTTGTTCTACAGTTCTGAGCTCAGCTCCTGGTTTCTAGGCAGAAATTTTGTGGATTGTTTGGTTATAATTATATAAAAATCACTATTTAGTAGAGAAAAGTTTGGTCATAACTCACATTTTTCTCTTTGAATATATTGAGTTCTCCTTTGAAATAGTGATAGGATTGATGATCCAGTGGGCTTTAAGTCACAAATGAGTGTTTATCATAAATTAATACTGCAATAATAACACGTGTGGAGTTTGTTTTGTTTGCTGCTAGTATATTTAAAATTAAATACTTAAATTTAAAATTATTATTATTATTAATTTTAATACTTAAAATGAAATGCTCTCAGGTGGAGATCAGTCGAAGACTCACCTTAGAAAAGCTGCCCCCTGTTCTCGTTTTACACCTCAAACGCTTCGTGTATGAGAAGACTGGAGGATGCCAGAAGCTGATCAAGAATATTGAATATACTGTTGATCTGGAAATCAGCAAAGGTAAAAGATTTAGGAACAGAATTTCCCTCTCCTCATGGAAAAGAGAATGTTGTATTTCCTACAGTGTCTGTGTTTTAATTTTCTCCCACACAAGATTTTGTTCTCATCGTTGTATGAAAATTTGGTCATTTGGGTGAATATTTTATGGGGGTTATTTATGCTCAAAGATCTTATTGCCTATGAAGTCCCAAAGGTTTTGGGTTGGCCAAATGAGAATTTCTTGTGGGTTTTTAGAGTAAGGATATAGGCTGCTGAGGGCAAATATGGGAAGTGATCCTCTTGGATGTGTGTCCCTGTTGCCAATATTGGATATTTTTATCATGAATTTAATTCAGAGAAGTGTCAAATTATTTAATTAATGAGTGGCAGTTGGAAGGAAACTGGTGTTTTATTGAAAATGCAGCCTGAAGGTAGACAATCTATAGTGCAGAGGTTAAACAAGGATCCTTTGTTTAACAAGTATCCTAGGAGATACTGACTTTAAATAATGAGATTGGAAATGGTCCAGCATCTGAACCTGCCAAAATAATGCCTTTTGTTTTGAGCTGACAAATGGACTATTAGCCAGCCAGTAGCTCAAATAGGAATAAATAAAATCAATGTATGCTCACATCTCAGCTGAGATCTGGACCTTGTCATGTAGTGCCTTTTTTTTTTTTACTTAATATTTTATTGTGCAATTTTCTTTTAGGAATGTAAGCCTGACTTGGAATCTGAAATTGATTCTGTCAAGGATCAAATCCTCCTAGGAGTGAAAGGGAGAAAATAGAATAATCTGATCTTTTACTATGTCTTATTTTCCCTTCATTTTTTGGTGGTGTTTTTTAACCTTTAATAAACCACAGTATTGCAAACCTGCAAATTCACTCCCTTGATTACCAGCTATCAGAACCATGACCATTCTTTATAGGCTGCAGAAGAAATTTCAATTAAATGTTCTCCTTTGTGACAGTGTTGATTTCTCTGAAAAATAATTGATCCTCTTGATATGGAAATTCTAATGTGTGGCTGTTTTTCCTCCTCCAGAGCTACTATCTCCTGGTGTGAAAAGTAAAATTTCCAAAGGCCAAAGAACCTACCGGCTCTTTGCAGGTATTTTATCTGTGTCTTTTATTTATTGTTTTACTTATCTGGGTGGTTTTATGGGTGTATTTTACATCTATTGCAAGTGCAGATTCTGCATATGGAATTATAGAAACACTGGGTTACATTAAGTGTTTTCTTTTAAATTTTGGGTGTGAAATTCTTGTTTATCTCTGGTGAAGCTTTAAGGTGATGGTGGAGGAAGGAGTTGGTTCTGATGGAGGGTTTGGATCCAGAGCTTTATTCTGGCACACAGACCTCTGAATGCAGCAACAGCCCCAACAGAACCAAGGAACTCTGTGGTTGCTGTGTCTTTTAACCCCGGGGAGAGGGGGTGGGAAGGGGTAGGGATCCCACCAACCAGGTAAGGGTGGGGAAATCTCAGGGGACAAATGACACCTGGATAGCCCAGTGTCCCCAGGGCTGAGAGGCATCTTTAGAACTCTGCCAATCACATGATGCCCTTGCTGGGCAAGCAAGGGGAAGGCGAAGGGAGAGGTTGTTGGCACACCTGTGGAGATTTGTGCAGCTGGGGGTTGATTTCAGGCTGTCTTAATGACCCAGAGGATTTTTTGGAAATCATTTCTATTGGTGAATAACCAGATGTGGTGGCTGCAGAGCTTGTGGTAGCAGTTCAGCTTCTGCTCTGGGGTGAAACCTCCAAAGGTGGGTGCTGGGTTCAGGGTCCTGAACTGTTGCAGTGTGCAGATGTGACCAGGGAACCCGTGGGAACAAGGTGAGTGGTTTTCATGGAATCCCAGACTGATTTGGGTTGGAAAGGACCTTAAAACCTGTGGGAGGAACTGGGATAGCTGAAACAGGCTATTACATCGCACTGCAACAATCAGAGGAGGAACCTGACCTTCTGAGGTAAACGCCACCACAGCACTCCCCCTGTGTGTCCCCACAGTTGTGTACCACCACGGCAACAGCGCCACGGGCGGGCACTACACCACGGACGTGTTCCAGATCGGCCTCAACGGGTGGCTGCGCATCGACGACCAGGCCGTCAGGGTCATCCACCACTCGCAGGTGGTCAAGGCGGCCCTGGAGCGCACGGCCTACCTCCTGTACTACCGCCAGGTGGACCTGCTGTGACCCCACCTCCCCGCCCCGTAGAACGCCAACATCACTAACTTTTTCTCCTGTAAATGCTCTTCTGAGTGATTTTTGTTTTTTTCGTTTTTTTTCTGGTTTTTTTCCCCCCTTTTTATTCTCTTTTTTTTTTTTTTTTTTTTTTTTTTTTTTTTTTTGGTCCCCTTGCAGCTATGGGATAGAGTGCTAAAGGAAGCTGCCGTTTGTGCACAACATGGTTTGTGTTGACTTTTTTTGACTTTGCAGAATGAAGTCGCTCGGTTGGAAGCCTCGTGAATCACAAAAAATATGAAAAAAAAAAAAAGAAATAAAGTTCATCCGAGTTAATGCTGAATCCTAAGATAATATAAAAAAAATGGGGATTTGCGTTGAATTCCCACTTTCTAATTGCGTAGTAGAAGAAAACCCTGCACCAGCAACAGAACTTGTAGATTTCTGTGAAAATGTTTTATCTTTACTTCAGTAAAAAAAGAAAAAAAATTTAAAAAAAAATGATAAAAAGCTCTCTCTGCTTCCCCAATAGTTTTTTGATAAGTGGTAAAATATGAGCCGATGTGTATGAGATGGAAATGGTCCTTTGTGCTTCAAAACATGTACAAACTGCAGAGTTGCTGGTTCCTGATAGGAAGACACATTTTAATAATTGTGCGATGAGAAACTGCTTAAGTACACATTGCAGATCAAATATTTGGAGTTAAGATGTTAGTCTATATAGATGGGTGATTGTAACTTTATTGCTATTAAGAAATTTCAAACTGCATTTATGCTTCTGTGTACATGAAATTAAGAAAATGGGCAAAATAATTAAGATTGATATTTCTTTAAGTCTGCTTTGTTTAATTTTGCTGTCTGCTCTCCTATAATGTTGAGTTCCTAATTGTACACAGTTTAGTGATACCTAGAAGTATAAAGTTGTCGCCCATCAATAAAAGTCACAAAGTTGGTTTAAGGAGTGTGTGTGTGTGTGGGTTTTGTTTTTCCTCAGGTGTGAATCCTGCCCTTGGAAACTCCAAAGGTTTCTGTTTCTCAAGGTGTGGGGAGCCTTCCCCAAATGAAGTGGAGATGATTTTTCTTTGCTTTTACAGCTTTTTGAAACTTCAGAAGTATTCCTGTTTTGCATTCAGGTGGAACTGAACTTGGAGGGGAGAGGGAAAGGGATGTGGTGGTCCCAGGGCTGAGCACTGAGCAGCCAGGAGAGGGGATGGAATTCCTTCTGTGTCCTCCTGGGAACTCCTGCACTCTTATTTCTGAAGCAGATGATGTTTTGTTTGTCTCTTTGTCAGCCAGCTGACATTGCCCTGGAGAACTTCTGGTAAAAATATTTCCTTGATCAGCTTCCTGTTGCTTTTTCTAAAAAACTCCTATACATTATTTAATTCTCTGATGACAGTGGTGTTTTATCCTTATTTCATCATGGGATGGTGGAGGCTCCCTGGCTTGTCCTGACCCTTCTGCCCAGAGTTCTGGCTGCAGGAAGGAGCATCCTCCCAACCCCAAGGCTCTTTGGGCTGCTCCTGCTCTGCTGAATTACTTTAATGATGCTCTGGCATTGTTTTGGATGTCTACATGTATTGTTATGTTTTTGCTGCTCATGCTTTATTAGGATTTTCTGATTCACAGGTGGTGACTGCTCGTGATTTTGGTGACATTCCACCAATTTCAAAACAATTTTCTCTGCAAAGCTCACTTGGATTTTGGCTGTTTGCAGGGAAAACCTCAGCTCCTGGAGCTGAGCCTGCTGTAGAATTGATGCTCCCATCTCTGTGATGGGAATTGCCCCAGAGCACCCACTGGTGAGAAATGGAAATCTTGGGGGACTGGGAGGTTGTTCCAAAAAAGAAAGAAACCAGGTTTTGAACTTATTGTTCTGTGCTGGTTATTATTCACATCCTGTTTCTGGAACCTGGTTAAAGTGGTTTTCTGTTCAGCAGAAATCCTGGTTTTAATTAGTCCTGTACCTGTGTTGGGTATTTATTTAGCTCTATCCCCAGTGCATTGTGAAAAAGTGCATTTCTGATAGTGCAGCTTAACCTGAACAGTGCAGAGAAAACTGCAGGTGATCAGTAATTAATATATTACTTAATAGAGGTTACATATGTTGCCATTTTAAGAAATGGCAATGAGTCATTGCCAGTTTAAAAATCAAGTGTTGAAATTGTCTCAGTATGAATTGACGTTGTCTCAGTGTCACTTAAAAGTGATTTTTTGCATTTTTTACTGAGGATATTATAAATGTATTTGTCACTAAAGTCATTCTTCTGCAGTGTATTAAAAAGGAAATAAAAGTATGTGGCAACAGCGATGTAGACACACAGCCACAATTTTTATTTTCTGTGGTAACTCCCCCATTGTTGCAAAACAAGAGCTTGCAGCTTTTGATCATTTGCTCTGGGTGTGATTATGTAAAACAAAAACCCCAACAGCCTCTGATACACCGTAAATCCACTGGTTGTTTGCTGAAGTTCAAACCACATTTTGAGAAATGTTTGGGGTTTTTTTCTTAATGCACAACAAGACCTGGAATTTCCAAAATGAGAAACTGGATGTGCAGCTCCAAAGGGCTGTGGGGAAAAACCTTGTGCCATGAAGGAGATGTGCAGGGGAAGAGATGGATGGGATGGGGGAGGGTGATTGTGAAAGCCATGAGGTGTTTGGGGTGGGGGAAGCTGTTTTAAGTAGAAAATTGCTGTTTTCCACAATATCCTCTGGAGATGGTGTCCCTCAGGGCTGGGCTGGGCCAGGGCTGCTGCCAGGATGGATCCTGAGCTGTCAGAGTTTATCTCTGTAAATGTGCTCTGAATCTGCTGCTTTTCACTAGGAATGAAGAGGAAACCTTGGATGTGTAGGGGATGTTCCCAACATGCTGGAGATTTGTGCAGCTGGGGGTTGATTTCAGGCTGTCTTAATGACCCAGAGGATTTTTTGGAAATCATTTCTATTGGTGAATAACCAGATGTGGTGGCTGCAGAGCTTGTGGTAGCAGTTCAGCTTCTGCTCTGGGGTGGAACCTCCAAAGGTGGGTGCTGGGTTCAGGGTCCTGAACTGTTGCAGTGTGCAGATGTGACCAGGGAACCTGTGGGAACAAGGTGAGTGGTTTTCGTGGAATTCCAAACTGTTTGGGTTGGAAAGGACCTTAAAACTCCTCTTGTCCCAGCGCCTGCCATGGGCAGGGCCACCTTCCACCAGGCCAGTTTGCTCCAAGCCCTGTCCAACCTTGCCCTGAACCCCTCCAGAGCTGGGACAGCCACAGCTGCTCTGGACAGCCTGTGCCTCACCACCTTCATAGGGAAGGATTTTGTGCATTTCAGTTCATATTTGACTTGTACTTTGTGTAGTCAGTGGTGCCCCCTAAATTTTCTGCAATTTTCTGAAATTGCTGCAGCTCTCGTTCTTATTTCATTGTTTTACATCAGCTTTTCACTGATGAAACAGGACAGATTTATGGGGAGTTGTTTTCTTGCTCATCATCAGCTGCTGAGGCATTTGGGGGAATATTCTTGACTATGAGAAGGTGGAGAAGCTGCAGATGGACCTGGGTGGTCAGTCCAGGCTACCCCAAAACAGGAGAGCAGCAAGAAAGAACAAACAAGGAGCTCACAGTGCCAAGTAATAATTGTGTTTGGGAACAAATCCATCAATGCCTGGATTTCCCTCCTGTGATTTGGATCCCCACACTGTTAATTCATCTGCTGGAGTAGCATGGTCAAGAGAGGGGCATCTCCACCCTGCTGGGGTGGTGGATGTGGCAGGGATTCCTTGGCTCCCTCAGGTAAACACAGCCCAGGCACGAGGGGGATGTGAGCAGGCAGCAAATGGGGGGTGATTGCCCCCCAAACCTGAGCCTGGTGCCCAGCTCAGGGGGTGAATCCTTCAAACCTGAGCCTGGTGCCAAACTCAGGGGCTGATTCCCCCAAACCTGAGCCTGGTGCCCAGCTCAGGGGGTGATTCCCCCAAACCTGAGCCTGGTGCCCAGCTCAGGGGGTGATTCCCCCAAACCTGAGCCTGGTGCCCAGCTCAGGGGGTGATTCCCTGGTGCCCAGCCCAGGAGCTGCTGCTCCCCCTGTGCTCTCACTGCTGCTGATCCCAGCCAAGCTCCTGCCCATCCCTGCTGCCACCTCACCCTGTTCAACCCCCTGTGCTCTGGATCCAACCAGGGGATCCCCTGCAGCTCTGTGCCTCTCATCCTGCCCTGCTTTGGGGCCATTCCTGCCGAGCTGTGTTTGAGAGGGAAATAAAGGAGCATTAATTCCAGTGGAGATCAAGACTCTCTGTCTGCCTGGTCAATTAGGAGGGCATAGGGAAATCTGTGTCTCTTCCCATTCATTGGCTATTACATTAAAAGCCTCTCTGCTAATATATACTTATATATGCAGCCTGCTTTATGTGGCTTTTACCACATATGAAATGGAGACGTTATAATCAAGGCAGTAATAAGGAGGAATGATTAAAAGTAACTTCTGATTGTTTTGGCTTTGGTGGAACAAATGACCCCAAGCTGCTGACTCAAGACAAAATGAGGTGGGTAAAAAATTCTTGTTCCAGGCTGTGCTCATCCCTGAGCACAACCAGGCCCTGTGTGTGTCTTGTACAGTGAAACCATCCTGGTGTATATTAAAAAAATAAATTAAAAAATCAAATCTTTGTAAAGCAGCCAGGTTGATGGAGCAGTCAGACAGCCCAAACCATCCTACAGGGATTCATTTCCCATAGGGATATTTGTGGAGATTACAAAATACCAGATTCCTCTGAGGTCTGGAAATTATCTGTCCGTCGGTATGTGAGATTTAAAATGAGTTAATTCAGCTTTATGGTAATTGGAGTGAGCAGCACCTTCTGAGGGCTGTGAGTCAGGGCTGGGGAGCTGCCTGGTTTTGGGATGGCAGCCTGTGTGGGGGCAACAGGGTTCACTGTGTTGGGGTGAAACTCACTGTGTTTTGGGGAAATTAGGAACTGGGGAGGGGCTGCAGCATCTTTCAGATAATTAAATCAGCCTACAGCAAACTCACTGATCCAGAGGGAATCAAAAGAGCAAGGGGTAAAAAAGAAAAAATAAGAGTATACAGTGATTTTACAGTAAAGCAGTGCAGAA